ATTTCTAGATGAACTTATAGAATATGAGCTAATGAAGCCTAGCTCTAGCAAAGAGATGAGACGATAAGATATGAGGTTCCAAGTCCCACTAATTGATGCAATTAGATACGTTGACCCAATCAACCATGTCGGGATTGGAAGAATAATATCACTCTTTTTGGGCAGATGTGGCCGTCTCCCTAAAGAACTTGGCTTACTCACAGATCTAGCCGTTTTTCACAACAACTCCAATGGGTTTTGCGGTACCCTGCCTAAAAAATTCAAGAATTTGAAGATACTCTTTGAATTGGACATAAGCAATAACAGGTTTGCTGGGAAATTCCCTTATGTTGTGCTAAGTTTGCCCTACTTGATCTAGTTAGATATACAATTTAATGAATTTGAAGGAACTGGGTCTTCTGATCTATTTGACAAACCTTTGGACGGGGTGGTGGTGGTGGAGTGGGAGATGAACAATTGTTTTTTTAAAAATTATTTTTGAGATTTTTAATTCATTTTTTTAACTTAAATAACATGAGAAAAATGTAAATGACCATTTTGCCCTTGTCAGTAATCCATCCATTTGGACTTTCGGTGCATATTTTTGAAACGGTTGGAGACCTTAGTTGGCACAAAACAGAAGTTAAGATAAAATCTACAAAAAAAAAAAATGAAAAAATTTAGACTGTCGTTGCAATTTTCCCAAAAAATAATGATCATATTCTTATCCAATGGAGTTTAGGATGAAGATATCAGATGTTCCAGAATCAGTAATATTCACATCATATGAAGGTAGATTAACTGTAAGGGATTCTGGGTTGGCATAATGATTTCCGCGGGCATCGTCCTCTTCAAGGCACTAAATTCGGTAGATATATTGATTGTTCTCGTCTTTGATTGGCCTAGATGGAAGTACAACCGTATTAGATGATCAACTAGAGTCGCAAACTGTGCAAACATGGAATTGGAACCTCCCTGAGAGAATCCTCTTCTTACAGCTTGTATAATCTCTGCAGCAGCCTCCCTCCTTGTAGGAACTATGGATTTTGTAACTGATGCCTTATATTTTTGTCATCATTAAATCCATAACCAAAAATTTGACGTTCAATATCGATAAATTGTGCCCACACTGATTTACTTTCCTGACTTCACCCCTGTCTTCCATAAAGAAGGATATTAGACTTCACCAGAAGTGAATCAAGATTTCCCTGGAAAACTCAACCCTAATCTGAATTACATCATTAGATTTGATAGATATCAGTATTGAAAATACATATACATTAAATAATCTAGTTATACAACAAATGAAATTTAATAACTCAATTGAAATTGGGGTATAAATCCATTTCCTATAAAATTTTGTAATTGGTTCTATCATATTTTTATATTTTTTTTCTTCAACCTGCGATAGAATTAGTTTTAAATCTATAGTTATCAACATTTAAAATCTATTATTATCTATTATTATCCCACTAGCTGCAGACTTGAAAGTGTTAATTTCATGGCTCTCTTGAGCTTCAAGCCATTTGATAGGCAAAATATTTGAAGGACTTTTCAAAAATAAAATAGTAAATATTTAAATAGAGTAAATGAACACTGACATTTTTTGTCGATAATCACATATTTTACGATTAGAAATAAATATTTGTGTGTAATTTTGGCAGAGCACCGTAAACAAGGGTGTCAAGCTGACCGCGGTTGAATCGTAGTTCAATCCCACAACTATTAATTTCGTTCAATTGGTCCCTAATTACAGTTTTTATGTGGGCTTGGACCATTTTTCAAGTTTTCGATCAATTTTGGTCATTTTTCATCCTAAACTTCAATTTTGAGTTGAAACTAGATTTTCCCAAAAAATAATGTTTTGGAGTGTATTCAATTGAAACTTTTTAGAATTTTTTAAACTTTTTTAAATGAGTGAGTTTCGTGAATTTTATGGATTTTTAAGTGACTTATGTAGACTTTGATTAAAAATTTTTAAAGACATGTAAGGATTTTTTATCTTACAAATTCATTATATAAATTAAATAATAATAAAAAATTTACACCATTTTTTAAGAACATAACCAAAATTCTTTCATGAAAACATAAATTCTAAGAACACGTGTTGTTCTTAACAAAAAAAAAAAAAAGGAATGAATGGATCGATTATATGAAATTCTACATTTTGAAACAACTGCATATAATTTAAATTTAAAAGTAATTATGTAGATATAGAATAATCATGAATTGATTACTGCAAATGAATTGAAGAGATATGAGAAAATCCTAAATTTGGAAGTAAAAGATGTTCGTTTTTTGGGCTTTAGAATTTTCACAAATTTCAAAGTATATGAAATATTTTCTTTGAAATTTGTTATTTATATTTTTCACAATTTTTTTCTCCAGAAGTCTAGTAAGTAGAATATTCTCTAAAAGTCACTGTTTATTTGAATATATCAGGATTTATAGAGACTTTTAAAAAATTTCAATTGAATAATTCGTGACTTTTTTCGAGACTTTATAGAAGTCTATAAAAATTTCAATTGAATACACCTAAACTTTTAGAGAGTTTTTAAAAGTTTCAATTGAATACACTTGAATTTTTTAAATCCTCAAAAAATTTTTAAAATCTCAAATGAATACACCCTCTAAATTATTTAGCCCTTGTTTGACATCCATTTTTTTTTCTCATTCTCTTTCTTATTTTTTTTGCTTTTTTCATTTCAACCAAACATTCTATCAATAAAATAATATTACACATAAATCAAAAATTATCCTCATTTTTTAATCATACATTCTTCCATCAACTATTATTTTAAATCAAATTCTTCTTCAAAATGGACGTTAAACAAGGGCTAAATATAAATAATTAACGCTCAATAAGTGAATACTACACACATGAATTTTGGCAGGCTAAAGCATAAGAAAAAGCAGGAACATTATTAACCTTATTACCTTGTTTGGGTCATAGGTGGAGTTTTAATTATATATTGAGATAAGGATCATGTTACATGTATCGAATTTTTTTAATGAATCTTTTACTTACTATTCACAATGGGGTGGGGACCATATTGCCTAAACTTTCAAATGCACGCGAGCCCCATGTATTATATGAGAGGGGATAATTCATTGAGAAATGCTATTTATTCCTAGTGGGATGCATCCCCAATCTATGTGGCGTTAATGTGACATTAAATGATAGGTGAAATTAAATAAGTCATTTAATTTCACCTATCATTTAACCAATTATTTATATCCATATAGACTGAGGATGCATCTCCACTGGGGATAAATAACATTTTTCTAATTCATTATGTACAATCCGTTATAATTCATTATGTACAGTCCGTTATGTACAAATGGATTAACGCTTGAGATAAATGTTGTAATGCACGCGTGAATAGGTATTTGGGGCAGAGCGGTCAGCCTATCTATTTACAGTTCTGTAGCATTCAGAGACAGAGTTGCAGCTTTCACGAGAAATACCAAGCACAGCAAAACCAACACGTTGCGCTTTCGTGTCCTACGTTTGAACAGTCGAAATTTTCTGACCCTCTAGCGTTATATTTTCTATCTCATTTTTAATTATACATTTTCCGATATTACGTAAATTTAAAGATTTTTCTTATTTTTTCAACTAGACATTCATACTATTTCAAAATAGATTTTCATTAAAAAAAAAAAAGGCTCAAATTTGCAGATACGTACACACACGGGTTAATGTATATAAGGGGATATTTAAAGGGTAATTAGCGGAAATGATCCATATCGTTTACATTCATTGCTAAAATAGTCCATATCATTTTAAATTTGATATTTATACCTTTATTTTAAACCTTTGTTGTGAAATTAGTCATTTCCGCCCACTTCCATTAAATGAGGGAAAATGATTTTGAATTTTTCTTATTTTGTCTCAATTTTGTGGGATTATTACGGGATGTCAAATGAAATCGAAATATTCAATTCTTAATACCATTTTGAAGTGCTCACGAATTAATTTTCCCTATCCCTAACGACGTGCGAAATGGCCAAACGCAGCTAAACTTACCACTTGTCGAACTAGGTCGTTCCAAAATATATAAACGATATTTCTTATTTTTGTCTCAATTTTGCGGGATTATACAGGATATCAAACGAAATTGAAATATTGCATTCTTATTATCATTTCGAAGTGCTCACGACCTAATTTCTCATATCTCTAACGACGTACGAAATTGCCAATCGTAAAGAAAGTTATCACTCGTCGAAGTAAGCTGTTCTAAAAAAAAGAAAAAAACATTTTTGTCTCAATTTTGGAACGACCTACTTCAACGAGCAGTAACTTTCGATACAATTGGCTGTTTCGCAAGCCGTTAGGGATGGAAAAATTAGGTCTGAGCATTTAGAAATGGTATTAAGAATGCAATATTTCGATTTTGTTCTTATATTCCCTAATAATCTCGCAAAACTGAGACAAAAATAAGAAAAAATGTTTATATATTTTGAAACGGCTTACTTCGACAAGGGGTGACTTTCGCTACGACTTGTCGTTTCGCACGCCATTAGGGATGGGGAAAATTAGGTCTGAGCATTTCGAAATGATATTAAGAATATAGTATTTTGATTTCGTTTGACATCTCGTAATAATCCTGAAAAATTGAGACAAAAATAAGAAAAATCATTGATATAGTTTGGAACGGCCTACTTCGACAAATGGTAACTTTCGCTATAATTGGTCGTTTCGCACGCCGTTAGGGATGTAGCGTGAGCACTTCGAAATGACATTAAGAATTGAATATTTCGACTTCATTTGACATTCTGTAATAATCCCATTAAATTGAGACAAAAATAAGAAAAATTCAAAATCATTTTGCCTCATTTAACGGAGGATTTAACGGAAGTGGATGGAAATGACCAATTCCGCAACAAAGGTTTGAAATAAAGGTATAAATATCAAATTTAAAACGATAGGGATTATTTTAGTAGGGGCCATTTCTGCTAACCCATATTTAAATGTTGTTTCTGTGCAGTAAAACGGAGGCGTGTTTTGAGTAACCAAAATGTTGAGCAGGGATGAAGATGATGATTCGCCTAAAAAATGCGGGGAGAGAAGGCGGAGGACGATTGAGAGGCGGCGATTGGCTGCGGAAGCGGCAGCTTCTAGTGTTGGTGGAGGATCCACGTCGTTTTCCTCTTCCGGTGGTTTGAATGTCATGCCAGAGAGCTCGCTACAGGGTGTTCGATCGACTGTGCAGAGGGCTGACCCTTCATCGGTGTCGGATTCTGCAGGGGATGAGGCGGTGGACAACAGTAATAACTCGGCACCGCTGGTTGGATCATTAGCGGTAGCCGGAAGGCAACGTGACATGGAAGATGCAATTACTGTTCGTACAAACCTTTGCTCCCCGGAGATTACTCGGCGACGACCGGTGCATTTCTTTGGTGTTTACGATGGACATGGTGGATCTCATGTAAAACTTCAACGCTAATTTGATTTATAATCTTTTATTTTATCTAAAAACAATTCGAAAAAAGTAGAATCGGGAATTTGGGTTTCAATCAGTGACAATGACAGCACATCTGGGTTTAAGTGAAAAATTGATTTCGAACTATTCTCTCTCTAAACTTTTACTTCCTCAAAACATACGTGTTGCTTTCCTCCATGGTTGCTTGTAGGTTGCTTCAATGTGCAAGGACAAGATGCACGTGATATTAGAAGGAGAGCTGTCGCGCGTGGGAAATCACGCAATACCCCATGCAAGTGGTGCTAGCAGCTCTAGAATGACGCAAGAAGAACAATCCATTGAGGATAGTGGACTAAACGAGGAATGGGCAAGAGTGCTGAAATCGTGTTTTACGAGAATGGAGGAGGTGGCGCTGAACACCTGCGGCTGTGGAATTGCCGGATTCCGCTGCAGTTGCGACCGATATGAGCCCAATTACATGGGGTCTACGGCCGTGGTTGCTGTTTTAACGCCTGAGCACATTGTGGTGGCCAATTGTGGTGATTCACGCGCAGTCCTGTGCCGCAGCGGAAGAGTGGTTCCACTCTCGTTCGATCATAAGGTAACTGACACTAGTTTGCACGCACCAAATTGGCACTGGATGCATGATTGTTTCTCTCCTGATGATTTTGACACGTGTTGGGCTCTAGTCATTTGGAGCTGATTGTGTGTGGGCGGGCTAGAGATAAAACGGGCAACGGTCGTTAAAAGTTTATTGCATAAACTAGAGTATAATGTATTATTTTACATGAAACTGATCTTCTGCCTTCAGCGGAAAGAATAAAAAAATTTCACTGCTACGGGAAGAAGCTTGCTGGGAGCAGGAAATTTTTTTATCTTGTCCACTGGAAGTAGGAAATCAAGGTTATTAGGTTATAATTGACCATTTATTTTCATCGGTGATATTCTACCATTCCAACAATTGAGTCGATTCAACCGGTTCTTAATTATTTGAAATGGAATAAAACTTAAATGCAGCCAGATAGAGAGGACGAACGAGCTAGGATAGAAGCATGTGGTGGACGGGTCATGTTTCTTAATGGAGCGCGAGTTGAAGGGATTCTTGCTATGTCTCGGGCTATAGGTAATTTTCTTTTGCTAGAACCGACTATTTTAATTCATTCTGCATGCCTTATTGTCACATCACATGAAGGAGAAACATCGCGTCAAATCATTTTCCAGGTCACGAATTTGTACAATCCAGTGAGACATTTTCAACAGTTTCTGTTTTTGTACGATGACTGCTCTTGAGAAATAAAATATTAAAGCCTACTTATTTTTGTTCCTTAATTAAATATTTAATTGTTTCTGCATGCATTATATAGTTTTCCAGTGTAAAATTGTAGGAATGTTTAAATGTGCATGTATTCTTTTGAGTGAAGAATGGGTGCTGCTCATCATTTTTGAGAAAATCTCCAATGTAAGACTCCTTCTAAGGAAACTTCCTAGCTGTCTGCACCCTACATCCTTTTATCGCTAAGTGATGAATATCTAAGTGTACAACATTGGTTGAAAACAACGGTTGACAACTATGTGTTGTCGAAATCCTAATATGTAATGTAAAAAACAATTTTTTAAAATGAATGATTATGATGATGTTAAATTAGATGTTGTGAACCAATATTGTACATGTAGTATGATTCTCAGGTTAATATTCGAGATCTGGTGCAGTCAAATCCCTCTACTACATTTTTCTGTTTCATTTATCACTGATATTAAAGCCAAATAGACTATTCTTAAAATAATTAACAAAAAAAAAAAAATTCGTTGGAGTAAGATAGGAAAGTGATAATGTTGCTCGTATAAGTTCTTTCATTTTCAAGCAGGAGATAGGTATCTAAAGCCCTTTGTGATATCAGAGCCAGAAATTTCCTTTACAAAAAGGGATGAAGAAGATGAGTTTCTGATTCTTGCAAGTGACGGTTTGTGGGATGTTATGTCTAGTGAGATGACGTGTGAGGTTGCACGAGAGTGCCTTCGAGAAGAAAATCGGCATGCTGGTTCCGGGGATCCTAGTGCTCAGCCTTCGACAACGAATGAAGGTCCCGGAACGTTATTCCCATCTCAAAGTGCATCTGCAGCAGCACTACTTATTCGCCTCGCCTTGGGACGGAAGACTGCTGATAATATCTGTGTTATAGTTGTCGATTTGAAGAGAACTTTAAGTGCATGAGGTTCGGACTTGGTAACTTCTACATATCTTTTTTTGGCAGGCTTTCTTGTGCATTTAGCTCTAGGGATTCGGAAGAACTTAAAAATCGATTCTCCTCAATATAGAGCACGTAGTTTGAAAGATACTATTATTCATTCGAGATGCTTTTTTATTTCGAAAGCCAAGACAAGAAGATTTCATTATGAAAGATCGCCACACACCTTGTGGAAAATAAAGCGGGAATACAATCAACCCTTTTATCATCGTAAGCTATTGATTGATATTATGCAATGTTTCATATCCATTATTTAAATAATATATTTTTTCTCTTTTATTTTCACACACACATTTCTTTATTTTTTAATAACACATTTTCCATCAAATTATTACTTCAAAATACAATTTTTGAAAAAAAAAAAATGAGGCTAAAACATGGCCTATATTCATTAATGCATCAATTAGGGGCCATAATTTCAAGGATAGTGCCATTTGTACATTCCAATGCTTAGACCTTTGTTGATATCGTCCTTGTTGTAAAAAAGTGATTAGTTGAAAAAAAAATTATTAAAGCAGAGTTTGGACCCAAATGTTAAATTAAAACAATAACAAACAATAAGTCACTTAGAGCATGTTTGGATAAGATTTAAATCGGATTACAATTGAAAAACTAACCATTATTGTTGACTTTTATTAGACGAGTGAGACCCAATAACGATTGTATTTTCAATTTTACTTAGATTTTAATCTTAGCAAAACATGTTTTTATTAATGCCTCTAGATGATTAAGTTTAATTAATCTAATTAATCCTACGTGTCAATCTAACAATTTAAACAATCACATCAAAAGCAATAAAAATAAAATAAAGAACACCAAGATTGATGATGAGGGGAAATTTCTGAAGAACTCTTCACGTGAATAAAAAATCTCTGGGCAAATCTTGTCAAAAAGATCCCCTAAAAAAGTTAATTCACAATGGGTCAGACACTTCTAAATCTTAACTGACTATGGCCACCTAACTTGTAGATCAACAAGGAACTCTTTTGGTTATGCACACCTACACTTCCCAGAACTCAGTACCCGTTTTTTCATGTTGGATCATCAAGAACGAACCTCGTTCTTCACTGGAACCTCGTTCCGCAATGTTGAAACTCCAAACACTTCTTCCCAAATTTTAGAACTATGAGGCTTATTAGAGAAGGTATGATTTAGTTTGGTGTTTGATCAAAAATCTTTTTGTGTTTTGATTTGTGGATGAGGCAAGAGAATATTAGATTATGGATTTGATCTTCAAAATATGTTCTCTTGACTTAATTCAAGGCTCAACTAGTGTTGGAATACTGTTTGTGACTAAACACGAAGAATATATATATATATATATATATATATATATATATATATATNAAATGATTTATATGATAAAATAATGATTTGACACAGTTTGGAACGTTGTATGACTAGTGTATTTATAACATGAAGTGTTTAAGCTTGAATATGATTGAAAAACAGATAAAAATCACGAAAATAGGGTCTGGGCATGTAACGTAGTCGCTCAAGCGCCAAGAGAGCGGCCAGCGAGCTCCTTTTGAGCAGTTGTTACTGTTTTCGTCATATTTTTCTTTCTCGATATCGGATTGAGGTGATCCAAAATGCGTTAGAAAGATAATTCAAAGTGCTACAATTCTTTTAGAAGTAGCATTTTTTTAAAATTCAAATGGTTTCTATAAGAAAAATCCCTCGTAACTCGTGACTGAGAATTTAGAGCAAAATTTGTACAACACTTTAACACCCATTTGACTTTTAATTGCATTCTCATTGATCGTATGTGATCTTCTTAGATATCTTTGACTTCTTCAAAGACTATACTACCAACCCTTAATTATTTTAACTTTAATTACAACTCAATTACTCTAATTTTTTCTAAAGAATAACCAATTACAAATAGAGACCTAATAGAGTGAACACGATTTGAGCTTCTTTTATTTCCTTTAAATAATGTGTAGTGCTATTTAATTTTCTTTGTCAAACATGTCATAAAAAAATGATGAAGTGTGGGGGTGAAAATTTTTATATAATCTGAGCTAAGGTTTAACAATGTGATAGCTGTATCACTTTGTGTTTAGAAGGGTGTTTGGTGAAAATTAAAATTAGATTTTTAGTAGATTGTAATAGAAGTTTTTGAAATATGTAGTTGAAAAGTTGTGAGATCTCATAAAATATGTGGTTAATATTGATTGTTTGACTTTATTTTGGATTAAAATCAGATTTTAATTTGAACCAAACAGGGCCCAGGAAAGAAAAGATTGGCCAATAGCTTGTTTTTTTGGTAAGGGTAAGGTAAACAGTTGGGTGGTCACAAGTTTATGGCAATTTTAACCCCTCCTCTCTGTGGCCTAACGCTAGCGTAATAATTATAATTTGAATTGATGAGAATCTTGACTTTACACATTGTGGAGAATCCAACAAAATGGTGTTGGGGTTCGAGCTAGAAATTGTACAACGGACATGAGTGTTAAGACTTGTGATTTCTTGAACTTCGCTTGCTCATTTTTTTGAATCTTAAAAGGATTAAATTGTTCGCTTGAATTTAATGGATTCTAATACCACATTAAGATTTTGAGTTCGATATTAAAATGTCATCTTTATTAAGATTAGTTCAAACTCTTATCAGTTGGTATATGTTTTTATTTTTATTCGAATGTGGGAATTTATCCCTTAATATAATCCTCAAGATATGGCTATGGACTCCGATACTATGTTAAAACTTGATGTTCTATTTTAAAAGGTAAATCTTATTAAAATGAGTAATTCAAACCATTATAAGTTGGTCTATGTTTTCATCTTTATTTGGATTTTACCTCTTAACAATGAAATTGAATAGCTTGAAGATGGAAGAACTGAACGGTGAACATATAATTGGCAACCGATTCAAGCTTTAAACCTTCATGTGCATCTTGATCGATTCTTAAAACTACGTGTTATGCTGCATTATTAACAATGCATAGTTAATTTACACTATATTTTGTAAATTGGAGTTAGTACATTCTTCTAACATACTTCCAAAATACATGTATATTGGTTGATTCAGATGGAATCATGTTTTATTCCACCCCCCCCGGGAGACGGGTGTGAGACTTGCAATTACTATTCAGAGTGTGTTTGGTAGAGATTTTTGAGGAAAGAATTGATTTTTGAATAGTGATATGATGGAAAATGTGTGGTTGAAAAAAAAGAAAAAATTATTGATGTGATGGAAAATATTATTTTATTGAAGAATGTGTGGTTGAAAATGAGAATTGATTTACTGTAGAAAAATTTAATTCCTCCCAAACAGGGCCTAAGTAAGTAAGTAATTAATTTATTCAAAAGCATTAGATTATATTTTTCAAATAATCTTAACGCTCTTAGCCTCTTTGTTCTGGATTCCATGACCAAAAAGATAAAGTAATATTACCTCTAAGTTAAGTTGGCTATCCTACTTATTAAGCCTCCGTTTGACACCCATTTTTTTATCTCATTCTCATTCTCATTTTTCTACAGTACTCATTTCTAATCACACATTTTTCAAATAAAATAATATTACACATAAACCCAAAAATTCTTCTTACTTTTTAACCACACATTCTTTACATCAAT